CTCTCTCTCTCTCTCTCTCTCTCTCTCTCTCTCTCTCTCTCTCTCGGGGCTCTGGCTAGGTTCGCCAGATTGTCCGGAGGTTCGTGGGGGGTTTATCTCTCCACAGAATACCCCGGACTGAGTAGATATATGACCCAGAGGGGCTTGTAAAATAGTAGTCTAGGTACGCTCGGTTTGCCGGAAATGAATGTTTAGGTAGGTTGGTTTGTGAATCTCTGATGTACGAGAGGGAAAAAGGAAGGGTTTTTTAGCGGTATTTGAGTATGAAAACCAGAGGTGAAAGGGTAGTCGCATTTCAATTTTCGAAAATAAGTAGATGTACCCTTAGTGTCCTACTGATTGGGGGTTTTTTGGTTTTTGTTTTTTTTATCTTTCTGATTTTCCTGAATTTTGGGTTTCTGTCCTTTCTGTGTTTTCTGTTTTTTCAGTATTTCTGTTTTTTCTATTCTCTGAACCCGGGGAGCAGCCGAAGGAGGGATTTCGTTGCATATTTTATGGGTATGATTCTCAGGCGCAGGAGGTACGAAGGGTCTGCTTCTAGGAATAGGTCCTGCTGAGGACTGGGGAAGTGGGATCGGGTCCCGTTTGGGGAATTTGGAGCACGAGAGGACTCAGGGAGAGACGGCAGGTGCCCGCAAGCTGCGGTGTATCTTGCGGGCAGAGAAAGGAACCCGTTTTTTAATAGGAGTAATAGGCGTCAGAGAAAAATAGAAGGCATGGAGGGCGGGATATTAGCTATTACTGGTGATCCGGGTGTCGTGGGGAGTTAGTGCAGAGTCGAAGAAGAGGAAGGTGATGGGCTCCAGCGGATGAGAGAGAAAAAACAGGATCGGTCTATCCAAGGCAGAAGAGAAAAACACGCGGTCTAAATTAGAAAGAGTGCATGATAGAAAACGCAGGGTGCGGGCGATGTTGGAAGTGACTTGCCTACGGAAGATCGATCAAAAACTGTTTGGAGGTAAGTAAGGGGTGTACGATGGAAAGGAATATCAAAGTGAAGGGACCGAGGAACGAGGGTGGGGACGGGAGTGAAGCAAAGCAATGGAGACGAAGAGGTGAAAGACTAAAAAAGGGGAGGAGGAAAAAGAAGAGGAGAGGAAGAGAGGAAAGGATGAGTAGAGCAGTGAGTTCGACGTAGGCCTTCGTAGGATGATGTGATAGGAATAGATTAGACTCGGCGACCAGGGGAATAGGAGCTGTTTGAGTGATGCGCATAAGGTATAGAAGGGTGATGGTGCGGTGCAGAGAGCATCTCGGTTCAGTTTTTGAGAAGTTTGGGTTTGCCTCCTGATGATCCGCGGTGTACGCACGCGGTGAAACGCGTAGGGGCTTTGCATGCTGTGTGGAATATTTTCGAGTATGAAGGAAGTTATGAATCGAGGTTTGATCAAGTAGATGGTCGGAGTCTTGCTGTGAAGAAGACCTCTTCTTATGTGTGTTCTTCTTCCTAATCTTCTTCTTTGCCACTTTCATGATCTCTTATTCTCTTCGAGCGTGGTAACCGGTTCTGTATGACATTTCGCGGTGGTTACGTAGTTGGCACTCTTTGGCGCATGGTTCGACGCATGGTTTGGGCGGGTGGTTTTTGATCACTCGGAGCTTAAGCTTACGCACTTGGCTAGCGCTGGGTCTTTACGACGGCGGTGATACTCGAAGCGTGAACGTCTTGCGAGGTGGTCTCTCGCCAAGGGACCTGGGGAGGTGAGCGTGAGCGTCTCAGCTTGGCCGAATTTGTTCTTCTTTCTGCTTGTCACCCTTATCTAATTTACGACGGCAGTGATACTCGGAGTGTGACCGTCTGCGAGTTGTTCTCTCGTCAAAGGAAGGTGAGCGTGAGCGTCTCATTTGGTGTCGAATCTGGTGATAAGTCGGGCATGGTGGATAAGTGGGGAGTCAGGTTGAAGAGAGCACTCAGTAGGAGTTTCGTGGTGATCTTTGGTGTGATAGGAATTTCGACCATCTACGGATTGAAGAGGGTGAGTGGTGGGAGTGGGTGGATTTTTTAGATGCGCATCACTGTAAAGTACATACAGGGGAAGTAGGATGACGGATAGGAATTTCAGGGAAGCCGAGTTTGACAGACAGTGGCAGGAAATAGAGAACCTAGTATACGATCGTGTTATTCCTATAATATTTGTAGCTCGTGAGTAGTTAGTTGCCGTGCTTGAGAGATTTCTGGGCAAGTTTCATAGCATCGGATGTTTAGTGAAGGATAGAAGAAGAAGGAGGAGGAGACAGTTGTGGAGAAACAGGTAGGAAGGATGCAGAACTTGGGGAATGGGATGAATCCGGGTAATGGGACGAATCCGGGTTTTGTGAATGGTATAGCTTTTGGGGGGGCGAATCAACCAGGGAGCGTAACATGCCATATCTGTGGGAAAGTTGGGCACTACGCCCGAAACTGTTGGTTGGCGGGTAACGGAAGGGGTCCGATAGTTCAGCAACCCGCTTCGAGTATCTTGGATGATGAGTCTAAGGAAATGCGGGACTATTTTCGGGAGAAAATCAGGAGGAAGAAGATTGAAGAGGAGAAGAGAGGGAGAGAGGAAGAGGAGAGGCGACGGAGGGAGGAGGATTTTCGGAAGGAACAAGAAAGGATGAAAGATGCAGAAGCTAGGGAGGCGAGACTGGAAGCTCGTCTCGTTCGACTTCTTGCGCAGCATAATAAGTCGGCTACGCAACCGGAGAGCTCGAATGTGAAGAAAAAGGCGCTGAGGACGAAGGCCAGGGTACTCAGGGAGATTAGGAGCTATATAGACGAATCAGATGACGAGAGCGACGAAGTGAGAGAAGAGGCGGGACAATTGATCGAAGCAATCGAGATGAGGAAGGGAAAAAGGAGGATCCACAAGGAAGATGGGAGAGGCTCAAGGATCCAATCAGAAAGGGTGGGCTACCGAGGGGAACCGGTAAAAATTGAGGATGATGATGATTTGAGAACACCTCCACAAGTGAAGAGAAGGAATGGAGATGAAGCAGGTATTCTCGAATTTGCCATTGAGCTGCATAAACATTTATCGGAAAAGAAGGTACCAGAGTTAAGAAAGCTTTGCAATAGAGAGGGCATCGAAGGGTCGAAAAGAGACACGGTCGGGGAGTTAGTAAAGTGCAAGGCAAAGTTAGCTTATGGCGATTCTGCTGAAAATGGGAGCATCGCAGATTTATTCCAGAACTAGTGAGTGTCGAAGATGTAACAGCTAAGGAAGGAGATGACAACACGAAGGAAGGTGGTTGAGGTGAGGGGAGGAAGGCTGAGAGTGAGGGAGGAAGATAGACTATTCAGACTATTTCTCCTATGCGTTATATCAGGGGAGTGTCCATGGGCAAAGAAGTGGGTGGGAATTGTGAGCGGCAACGAAGGTGACGTGTCAACTGGAAATCCAGGCGTGTATGTATTAGTGAGCCCGTGGTGTAGGCATTTCTACATTGGATGCACATCACGGGCCGTAATCACGAGATGGGTGGATCATGTCAGTCAGGTGGTAAGTGGAGATCTCGGGAACGCACCTAAACTTCACGCGTGGTTACGTATTTTTGGCTGGCATAGGTACTTAGCTATTCCGCTAGTTGATGGAATAAAAGACCCAGTAGTCGTGGAATCGAGCTTCATTAAGAGGTTTTCGCCATCGTTGAATACTCAGGGTATGGGAGGGGAAAGGTGGCGAGGGAAGAAGAAGAGAGCAGGGAAGAGAGAGAGGGGTAAGAGGTTGCCGAACCCAGGTGGGGTGGCAGTAATCAAGTTTAACGAGAAAGCATCGTTAATTGAGGTGATCAAAGAGATGAGTAGTAGTAAGGGTCCTCAATGGATCGCTTCCTCTGGAGGAACTGAGTGGATTGACCGATGGAAGATCGTAAGAAGAAAGGTGGGTGAGACGACGATATGGTTTGATGAGAAGGAGAAACCCATCAAGGAGTGTAAACTGTTGTTCGAGACGGGTGGAAGATTTCGGATCATAAGAATCAGAATCGTCCCTTCAAGCATTGAACACAGAAGGTTTGTGCTGAGGGATATGTTACGGCAGCCGTGGAGGATTCGAAGTTTGTACAAGAAGTCGTCGAGGGAGCTCGTTGCACTTTATCGAACAGCCGGGTTGTTTTCAGAGAAGAAAAGTAGGAATAGTGCGAAGTGCATCATTGCACGGGTAGTAAGGAGCAAGTATGGGCATGAGATAAGAAAGAGACCGTGCGTAAGGGTTCCCTTTTCACCTCAAGTGAAGAGGGGTGGTTAGAAGGTGTGCGGCAGGGCTAATTATGCAAGCAATTGCTGATCCTGATATTGCGAGATTCATTGCAGGGAAGGTGAGAGTAGTGGAGAAAAGGAGGACGACGGTCGACACGGTAATTCATAATCATTGGAAATGTTCCGAGAGTGTGATAGTTGAATGTACATGCGACCGATTCTGATTACTCAGGAAGGACGGACATGTCAAGGTTCGCCTGAATGATGTGGAGGGGGTACCCAGCTTTATCTGGAATTCCAAGAATGTTACGAGCGGGAGTTGCTTATCTACAGATACGCTGAGAGCATGCATCACGGAAGGAATCAGAGGATGGATGATAGGTAAGAAGCCGCACTTACTTCAGGTAGACATCCTTTGCTGTTTTGACGAGAAGGGTGAAGGGAAGGGCGCCGCTCTATCTACAGCCGAAGTAAGGTGGTATTTTCGAACGTTTGATGGCCTGGTAGTTGTTCCAATTGATCGCAATCCAGGTGCCACTTTGATTATATGTCCGGTATTATACTCCCGCGCGTGTTTGGAGACATTCAATCTGAGTGAGAGCTTTCGCACGGTGCAGGAGTCTTCAACTTTCGTTTTGAAAGAGATGAAGGAGTTTGTTCACCAAGGACTGGACAAGATCGCAAGATGGCAAACAAGGGGAAAGATCGGCCATGCGTATGTCTTACCAAAGGATAAGGATCTCGATAGGTGGAGGCCGATCTCACCATGCACACATGACCCGACGAGGGTGGCAGGTGCCAGAACAGCTCGAGCGATTAGGCACATGTTATTCGGCATCTCAGAAGCCAACCATTTCGACATCAAATCAACTGATTGTCTGGGGGAGCTGTTTAAGAAGTTTCAGCGAGACTTCAGAGCGAAGGGGGATTGTGTGATCACCCGGAGCTACGATATCTGATTCAGGGATATGTTCGCCAGATTGTCACACACGAGTGTGGTCGAAGCTGTGGAGTGGCTGATGTGGAGTATCATATGCGGAAGGGTTTGAAGGGAGTACGGGTAAGCACGAGGGGAAAGATGTGTTCCATGATCAAGAAGGTGAGGAGAGAAGAGGGATTCATCAGCATGACGTTTGATGACATCAGAAGGGAAGTCTTGTTTGAACTTTCTCACTCGTTCGTATGCTGCGCTTGCGAGATAATTTTGCAGGAGTTTGGCATTCCGATGGGGAGGAGCTCCAGCCCAGCATTGGCATGCACCGTGTGCGCAAGGGCAGAGTACGCTTTTCTGAACCGTATGAAGGTTACCGGGGCTTTGATTAAAGGGATCAGGATGATTGATGACATCGCAATTTTCCTTGGCTGCAAGATTGACCGACCGGATACTTTCGGAAGGGCGACGAATATTTTGGATGAATTCGAGCAGTGCTATGATAAGAATGTCAAGTTGGTACGAAAAGACGAGGGAGCAAACGTGTTCGATTTTCTAGGAACTCGCATATTTGCTGATGTGAACCCGGTAAGGATCAGCGTGCATCCTCGAACAAGGAATCAAGAATGCCTTCTCAAAGAAGGGAGGCGAAGGGTTCAGTCCATGCAGGACTATGCCTCTTTTTCCAGAAAAGCAGCTAAAAAAGTTGTGTTGTATGCTACATTGGTTCGTTTGAAGAGGCTATCGAGTTCTGATGAGGCTCTCAAGGCGTCGATTGCAGCCCTGATGATCGAAGTTAACCTCCGGGGGTACCCCCCGGAGGTCTCTCTCGGGGCTCTGGCTAGGTTCGCCAGATTGTCCGAAGGTTCGTGGGGGGTTTATCTCTCCACAAAATACCCCGGACTGAGTAGATATATGACCCAGAGGGGCTTGTAAGATAGTAGTCTAGGCACGCTCGGTTTGTCGGAAATGAATGTTTAGGTTGGTTGGTTTGTGAATCTCTAATGTACGAGAGGAAAAAAGGAAGGGTTTTTTAGCGGTATTTGAGTATGAAAACGAGAGGTGAAAGGGTAGTCGCATTTCAATTTTCGAAAATAAGTAGATGTACCCTTAGTGTCCTACTGATTGTTTTTTTTTTGTTTTTGTTTTTTTTATCTTTCTGATTTTCTTGAATTTTGGGTTTCTGTCCTTTCTGTTTTTTCTGTTGTTTTTGTATTTCTGTTTTTTCTATTCTTTGAACCCGGGGAGCAGCCGAAGGAGGGATTTCGTTGCATATTTTCTGGGTATGATTCTCAGGCGCAGGAGGTACGAAGGGTCTGCTTCTAGGAGTAGGTCCTGCTGAGGACTGGGGAAGTGGGACCGGGTTCCGTTTGGGGAATTTGGAGCACGAGAGGACTCAGGGAGAGATGGCAGGTGCCCGCAAGCTGCGGTGGGAGTAATAGGCGTCAGAGAAAAATAGAAGGAATGGAGGGCGGGATATTAGCTATTACTGGTGATCCGGGTGTCGTGGGGAGTTAGTGCAGAGTCGAAGAAGAGGAAGGTGATGGGCTCCAGCAGATGAGAGAGAAAAAACAGGATCGGTCTATCCAAGGCAGAAGAGAAAAACACGCGGTCTAAATTAGAAAGAGCGCATGATAGAAAACGTAGGGTCCGGGCGATGTTGGAAGTGACTCACGTGCGGAAGATCGATCAAAAACTGTTTGGAGGTAAGTAAGGGGTGAACGATGGAAAAGAATATCGAAGTGAAGGGACCGAGGAACGAGGGTGGGGACGGGAGTGAAGCAAAGCAATGGAGACGAAGAGGTGAAAGACTAAAAAAGGGGAGGAGAAAAAAAAAGAGGAGAGGAAGAGAGGAAAGGATGAGTAGAGCAGTGAGTTAGACGTAGGCCTTCGTAGGATGATGTGATAGGAATAGAGTAGACTCGGCGACCAGGGGAATAGGAGCTGTTTGAGTGATGCGCATAAGGTATAGAAGGGTGATGGTGCGGTGCAGAGAGCATCCCGGTTCAGTTTTTGAGAAGTTTGGGTTTGCCTCCTGATGATCCGCGGTGTACGCACGCGGTGAAACGCGTAGGGGCTTTGCGTGTTGTGTGGAATATTTTCGAGTATGAACGAAGTTATAAATCGAGGTTTGATCAAGTAGATGGTCGGAGTCTTGCTTTGAAGAAGACCTCTTCTTGTGTGTGTTCTTCTTCCTAATCTTCTTCTTTGCCACTTTCATGATCTCTTATTCTCCCTCCCTCCCTCTCTCTCTCTCTCTCTGTAGATGATACGATGACCGTCCGTATAGGTGGCAATGTGTGCGTGTTTTTTTTTTTTTTTTTTTT